CCACATGCACTGGAGCAATCAGGAAGCCTTTATTGACTTAGTTGTTACCAAAAGTCACCTAAAAAAAATTCAGGGACTTTTCGGCTTAGTTGCAGGCTGTGGTTAGACAGAGCAGAGAGGAGACACGTATGGAAACACATTTAAGAATGCAAGAAAGTAAAATATCAAACTGGAAACACCACTTAACACTTATTTATAAATGCAGAATAAGTTTTGATGATTTGTAAAAACGTGACAGGGGTCAAAAGCATCCAGAAACTGATCGAGGTTCAGACGGTTAACCAGACAAGTTAAATAAATGCAGAACAGGTTTTTATGATTTTCCCTAAAAGTAATTTTAACTGCTGCAAAAAAAAACTGGATATAACTCATAACTTTTTGGTGTAATTAAATCCTTTGGCTCTTTGTAGAATGACAGAAGACATTTCAAGGTGATGTCAAGCTTTTTAATGGGCAGGTTAACTGCTGGAATTGCTTTTATGTGTGAGGACAAAAGTGCAGATGGCTCAGCGCAGATCTGGCAGAGTGCGTGGAAAAGACAGGCGCTGTGGGTCGGGAGCACCGCGATCACCCGCAGGTGATCTTATCTGGTGCTGACATCCCACACATCCACACCCTCACACATCATAATGCATTAATTAGATAAATAAACACTGAAAAAGCCCACACCTTACAGCGTACACTTCCATGCACTTACGCTGTTAGCTGCACTGAATCTTCCAACATGGTCTGCAGAGGCATAATTGTCGAAAATTTACTGCTCTTCCATTTTAACGACCACAGAGTTTGCAGTTGTCAACCTGAAGATCAAAACTACCAATTTGACGAAATTATAGCATGAAAGAGAAACACAAGTCAACAGCGGTCGCAGTGAATCATAGCCATGAGCTCGGATTATAAGAGGTTGTAAAAGACAAGGCAGATAATCCACTAAGAATGTGTCGCCTCTGATTACAGCTGTCACTCCTCAGCTGGGATCAGTGTGTTGACAGATGAACCTGCTCTTAAAGGGGACTACCAACAAATTTCAGCTTATGATTCTTACCTTTGAGGATAATAAGTGCTTGCTAATAAAAGAAAAATGTAAAAAAAAGTTTGCACCACCCACATTAATCTGACATGTGCAGATGGCTCCGTATAAAATGATTTGCACAACTTTGACAACATCATTTTCTGGGGATCGAGGAGAAGTTTCTGGAAAGCAGATGGCATATTTACCACATCAAAAACAAAAAAAAAGCATTGCATAAATGTCATTAAGTGCCAGAAGAGCAGCTTCTGACCGAGAACTGCTTATAATCACAAAACACATGTGACATTCGTTAATTCCTAACTCGGTATCTCCATTTAAACATTCTGCGAAGACAGTCAGTCTGTCTTCAGCCTCTCCATACCATCAAACTCCAGCAGCTTCAGAAATTGCACATAAGAAGAGGACCTACTGTACTCACAGACAATACCAAAATAAGCACGAGACTGCTTTAATCAGGCCCTCGATACCACATCTAGTCCACCGACAACAATAACAGCCCGGCAATTTAAACAGGCTGTGGCCAGCGCTAACACGCACAGACGGGTAAGTTGTGTTTGTTTTCTAAATCCCAAGATGTTGTTCTGGTCGTACAAATACAAACAAAAGATCAGCACTGCTGGTTATCTAATGGCAACAACACACAGTCGTCTTTGTTCTACTCAAAGAGCTAATGCACACATCAAGTTCTACTTTGTACCACGCAGACAGAACAGGGCTCCAGACGAACTTTTTTAACTTCACAGCACATTAATTAGATGCAAACAACATTTTTCAGTGCACCTTTTAAGCATTATAAGTTCTCATACACATTAGCAATTCCTTAACCCATTATAAACGACTGTTAATAGAATAAAGGTGCAGATAAATGCACCTTCTTGGACACTTTGTGCTTGATTTTAAACTTTTTTTAATGCTTTAGCTGCACCATTTGCAAGTATTGCAATGCATAATGTTACCCATTCAAATATATCTCAATGTTTCCCAAAGTCTGAGAATTTACTTGTGATGACGGGTGCTTTAACGTGACCGATGTGCATGCAGAGACCCGTGCAGGTTAGGGTGTAGAGGAAAGTGTAACCCAGGTTGTTTTCTGAAGTTAGAATTTACAACTGTCTCTGAAACGCCTCACAAGGGTTGGCAAAGCATACAGTTGAAAGATATTCCATAAAACCCTCATATGAACTGGTAGATACTACTAAGCCACTGTGCACAGAGAAGCCTCTAGTCCCCATCGGTTATTGCAGTGCATGCAACTCGGATAGATACGCAACAAAAAAAAATCTGTTCATTTGAAAAGAAAGATTTTATCGAGACACACAAACAGACTTGCAAAGTGTCAGATGCACCAGTGTGACCAATGAAATGTGTTTATTCACACATTTTGGTGAACAAAACGACCACACTCTGGAGTCCTGCAGTGGTCTAACTACATTTGAATCATTACATATGTCATCTGGAAGCACTGACGTTGGCCTTTGAGCTACAGAAAGGCTCATAATAGAAGCCAAACTGCCACCTGAACACCTTAAATGTGAATGCAAGCCATTTGGGCTTCATTTGTACTAAAAGTCAGCGGTTATAAAACAGGTCAAGATAATTAACCCACATTTAGATAAAACACTTTGCATTGCCGGGTGGGTACTTTTAGCACACAAAGAGACTGGACTCACTCAGTTTGTGATTACAACCAATCACTGTGCCAGAACAGGATCAGTAAAAAGCAGTTTAATAAATCATTAGCTCCTCGTGTGAGACGTTTCCTTCCTCCTCTTTGTTGCATAGATCTCTGCCTCGTCTCTGCAGAGACACATGTATGTGCGCGCTAATGACTATGATTAAGGCGGCCTGGATTAGGTCCTGCTGTGGTTTATGACACACGTACACACACAGAAATCTGGCTCTGTGATGTGTAAATCTGGAGAAAACCAAAAAAACCAAACAACATAAACAAAGAGATGTACTACTTAATTAAACTTGAAATACACGCGATGGGTTTTCCACAAAATAGTGCTAAATGACACAGATTACGATACACACAGTCGTAACCAGCTCATCACTCATGTTCACGGAGGAGGCCTGTGGGATAAACAAAATATCCGAACAGCGTGGGTGTGCTAATCCAGAACACAGCCTTAAGTGAGGAGAAGCTTAAAATAATAATGTAAAAAAAGATTTCTGGAGTTTCAGAAAATCAGCCGCTGCGATGTACATTTTGAGGTTTTATTTCATGCACAACATCACTTATTACACAAAAATGAAAGAATATGGGCAGCAAAGTCACTGACAATAATGGGGGCTCTTCTTTGGGGTCTTAGAGAAATGCTCTTAATACAGAGCAAGCCTAAAGGAAACCATCCATGCCATTTGTCTTTGGAAGACTAACGAATTACCTCGGATGCGGAGCAGGAAAATCACCCAGTAATTCTGCGCTCGTGGGGCTACGAGGTAAGCCCACTAGTCAGATAAAATTAGGCTCAAATGTCTGCACAAGTTAGAGTAACGGCTGACCACCTCAGCTCGAGGAAAATAAATCAGCCAGCCACACAGACAGTCACCGAGGGAGACTAGAGAAGGGCAACAGGTGGCCGTCAACTTAGAGAGAAAGAGGGTCATCATCCACTTAGAGAGGAGCGGCAAGTCTGTCTGTTGCTCCCCGGGCTCCGCTAAGCTGAGCCAAGCACCAGCAGGAGCAGAGAATAAGGTAAAGCCAGTTCAGGGTAGCGTTCAGCCAAACAGTCACAAGTGCAGCCATGTAAACCATGTGATCCGTTACATCAGGCGCTTACTAGAAATGTGTTTTGATGATACGCCGTTATACAATCGGGGAGCATCGCCTAACGATATTAATAACAATAGGGACTGTCTAATCTAATATAGGTTTACTGTATCAATTACATAATTACGGTGTCACAAGCATCAAAGAGGAACCATCGGCATGTGAAAACTTGACCTCGGCAGGTTCAAGCAGAAGCTGTCTTTCTCATTTCTCGTGTGTCTCACCAATAGTTTAATGAGCTGTCAGGACAGAACAATCCCAGTAAAAAGATCCACTGGAGATTCCAAACTTTTCCACTACATGTCAGTACGTACGATAAATAACCAGAGAATCAAAGATATCTCTCGGATCACACTGACCTCATTCAAATGAAAAATGTCTGTGCCGTCGGTTTACTTCTACTTGAGCTGGAGAAAAACAACCAAATTCAAAATCTGACAATTTACAGCTTAATAGCCTTTGCAGACTTTGGGTTATTTTTGCCCTTGAAGCCTGTAGGAGGGACCGAGTGTGTGTCTTTATGAGAAAATATGCCCTCCACGTTCTGCTACTAACAACCTCTACTGCTTAATAGCGTTTTAAAAGCTTGTGTATTAATTTCTTGCACAAATAAACACGGTAGCAAATCTAGCAACACCTACTTTTCAGCTGCATCTTTCCAGAAACAGGCAGGAAAAAATAAGCCTAATTACTTAAACCATAAGCTGACAGAGTACATTGCAGTTAGTAAAAGCAAAGGCATCCCTGGTTTAATCAAAAGCCAACTTCTGAAGCGCGCTGTGTGTGTCTGCACACACGCCATGTGGATGCATATGTTTTCACTCAGCTTTTTTGCGCTAGTTCCCTCACATTACTCAAAGACACCAGGAGGCCCAATTAAACAAAGTGACAGCACACAGTAACTCTGAAAACATAAAATGTTTTCAGCCTCCGCTCCATGCCAGCGCTCTGTTTTCGCAGCGTGTTGCTGAAGTGCCGCTAATTGTCACTCAAATTAAGATTCTTGGTTATTTCCCGCAAACTGCCACTGTGCAAGTTTAACAAGCGCCTAAATAAAACAATCCACTGGTGACAGAGGTAATTAAAGCTCTTACCTCACTTCTGATACTGACTCAGGAGGACAAATTTGACCATCACAGAGAGAGATGTGACGAATGTACGGTTTGGAATAGAAGACGGTTTAGTACTCACCGATGCAGGCGTGAACTCTGACTGAAAGCTGGGTTCGAAGAATGATGCTGTGCTTCTTGCCTCTCCTAGGAAGACAAACAGAGAGAAAGCAGCATGTTATAAGAATATTAGCACCACTGTGATCATTTAAATGTGTATTACGGGCTCCACACCGATTAGCCACATCGTTAAAACCTCTGACAGATGGAGTGACATTGAAGATCTTGTTGCTAACCCTTATTTGCTGAAAGACCTTGATGTCCTGGAATTCATGTGGATGTTAGTTTGATTCCTGCTAGAGCAAGATGTTCGATTATTGCGACAAATTTTGCTGACAATTTTAGTGGGAATAGTCATTTTTATATTTCTTTTCCACCAAAACAAAATGTTTTTAGTGCCATCTGCGCCAAACAAGCATATTCCCTTCCATCTGGAGGATAAACACTGTAACCGAGGGCGTCACATATGTCATGCATTACTGTATATTTGCATATTACGCTTGACCACATTGCAATTTTGACAGTATTTTGATTAAATGTTCGGCTCTATATATGGATCCTTCATGACGGTAATGCTCCCAAATGGCGGGACAATGTACCCAACTACACCACAAAAATATTTAGGAGCGGCTCGAGGAACTTGACCAAGAGTTTAAGGTGTTTAACCACCCTCCAAACTCCCCCATATCAGAAACCATTTGAGCATCCGAAGCTCAGTCCACAGGACCCAAAGGATCAACAGGGGGAACCTACATAATATCACAGCAGTTAGTTTTAGTGTTGTGGCGGATCGGTGGGCATCCTTTTGTTGGTGTATGGGGGTGATGCACAAACACAGCTGAATCAAAACAAAACAAAAAAACGGAATGATTTTCTTCATCTAAAGCAACCACCAATAGGCAAGTGCTGACATGACAATATATCTGAGCAGCTACTGTTCAACGGTGCAAAACAATCTTCAAAGTGAATTCTTCTTCTGTAAGTTATTCCGTTCGGCGTTGCTTAAATCCCTCAACGTTTGCAGTTTGAACAGGTCTTCGTAGGTGAAAATGAAGGATGGGAGCGACTCGGAGGTCAGCTCCGCCTTCTGTGTTAATGGAGATATGCCAAGACCCTATCACCATCCTGTCAGCTGCTTACAATGTCTGAATGACAACCGAAAACAAAGACGACAACAATGCAGGCTGATTCTATTCAGTCGCTCAAAGTGAACGGGAGGGCAGTGCAGTTTGTAGACCTACAAAAGACAATTTGCCTGCTTAGAAGCTCTAATGTGTTTATAAAGACTGAAGTCTGTAAATTTGTTGTTTGTTGCATTAATGTAGATTCTCTTGGTCCATCTCTCAATGCTTTCCAGCTTCCCTACTTGGTGTGTTGGACCTCCAAACTCAATTGTGAAATGGGTTACACATAAATGCTTTTATTTCTCAAAAAGTTCGGTCCTTTTCTTCACTTTAGAGACGCACACTGTAGTTTGGCACATTCCCCATCCTGTGTTTTGGGTTTTTGTCGACCGGGGCCACCCTTTTGCTCGCACTTGGATCACACATTACACCATTAACCTCCCCAACCACCCAAAGAAACATACAAACAAACCTAGCAGACACAAATGTAGACAAGAGCACAGCAGGTAGAGTTGCAAAACACCCCCACCCCTCTCATTTTCCAATCCAGTTCACTGACAAATGGGCTTTTATGCCGCCTGCACAAAGGTTGCGCGATTGTTCCGACGGGCTCGGTGCCAGCGGCGGACTGTCCCTGTGAGCGACCATCGGGCCCGGAGTGACAGAAAAAAGAAAGCTAACTGCATAACTGATCCACAGACAGACAGACATACTGACATCTTTCCTGTCAGCTGGAGACCGATATGCACACAAGGAGATTACGCGGGCAGGGGAAGTCTGTTTACGCTCACTGTTTATCAAATATAATATCCAGCAACATGCCAAGGCGACACAGCAGCAACATCTGTCAACATGGACCTTCGCTGGCGGGACGAGAAAGCGAACGGGAACTTAATCCCCTGTGATGCTGTTGAGGGCAAACGGGTAACTAGAGCCATTTTGTCACGAACGTCTGCTTTCTCTCCGCTGCGCTGCAACAGTATCCCTGTGCTTAACCGAGACCTGAGGCTACGCAGGCCAACATGCTCATTATCAAATTAAACAAACGTGCACGGAATATAAGTGAGGTTTTCAGACCCCACTCACCAATTAAACATGAAAATTGGACACTCCCACAGACAGCGCTGCAGGCCTGTGACGGGTGGAGCCCAAAGTTACAGAAATAATCATAAGTATAAGGAATGTCAGCCCAATAACAAATTGACTACATGTTGGTGCACTGAATTCCTTGGTCCTCCTCCTGTGCCAGAATGTTCTGGTTTCCTCCAGTGGCGGTGGTACTGTGTAATGGACTTAAGCCACTGGTCAAATTAAACCTGATTCATCATGCTTCTGAAATACTTGCTGACACAGTTTGAATAACTGTAGTCATGTTTCCATGTAATTATCAAGCAAATTCGAAGTAAACGTTTGCAGAGAAAAATGAAAATAAAATGCAAATGAGGATCGTTACCGCTAAGTGCTTTGGAGCGAATAAATTAGGCTGCAATGAAGGTGCCGCTATGAGCTTTATTAGTGAGAAGCCGGTAACAAAACCAGCTGCATTGTACATGAGAAAAACTGAGAAAATTCATCAGGAATTGTTTTTTTAATCTGTAAAGTTGTGATTATTGTCAGCTGGTATCGTGTTTCAAGACAGCAAACCATTGGTCGTCTGAGTTAAAGGTTCACTATGTCAGAACTTATTCGACAAAGACATTTCCATCACTCTTTATGTGCAATAAGTCAAAAATCACCTCCAGTGAGCAGAAGAATATTCAGGAAATTGGGGAGGTTTTTACAATTACAGTTTCCATTAACACATACTTCAGAATGTCCACAAAACTACATTATACATTCTAAAAAGTAAAGACATATTGCCATGACTAAATGCAAGTTTGCAAGATTAAAAATAATAATAATAATCCTTACACATAGATTGAGATTCATCTTGTCAACCAAAAACAGTCTTTTGATGGTTGTGTTGAAATATTAAGGAGAAAAAGCTGCTTTTTCTTATTCAAGTTTGTGAAGCCAGTTAAGTAAATTGCTAAAGCAAATTGTTTTTACGAGCAAATAACAAGCCACTCTTATTAAAAAGTTGCTTGTTTTTATGTGAGCTCTATAGAAATGGCCTATTTACTGTAATTAAGTACATAAAACTTTAAAATTCCTTTTAAATAATGTGGAACTACTAATTGGAACAACTTCATTTTTTTTTATAAATAATCAACTTAAAACCTTTTTTTATGCTGCCAATCCTTCACTAGGTGTTAATGTAAAAGCTAATTTCCCTAACTTGATTTAAAGACGTCATTACTCGTAAAGTTTGATGCGTGTTCATTTTTTGTTGAGGGTATGGAAACACTGATTGTGACCAGGGCTGCACGGTGGCGCAGTGATTAGCATCGTTGCCTCGCAGCAAGAAGGTCGCGTCCCAGTGAGGACACCCTGGAGCTTGCTGTGTGGAGTTTGCATGTTCCCCTTGTGCAGCGTGGGTTCTCTCCGGGTTCTCCGGCTTCCTCCCACAAGGTCCAAAAACATGTTGAGGTTAATTGGTGATTCTAAATTGTCCGTAGGTGTGAATGTGAGTGTGCTTGGTTGTCTGTCTCTAAGTGTAGCCCTGTGATAGACTGGTGACCTGTCCAGGTGAACTGCCTTCACCCTAAGTCAGCTGGGATAGACTCCAGCCCCCCACGACCCTAGTTAGGTTGAAGTGGTGTATACATAATGGATGGATGGATGATTGTGACCATTTTTCCGATTGTCTCATGAAATGAATGAACCTAACCGCTACCTACAGTGATTACCTCCTACTTACGTCAACCTCCTGACCATTACTGAAGCCAAATGGTCAAAAAAAACCTTGCTTTATAAAAGATTAAATGAAAACATATGAACATTTTTATTACGTCTGTACGTTAACAAAAGGCATTGGACCTTTTTCCTCAACAGCATAAATCTGATATTCATCATCGTCACTTTGCGTATCAAATGCTACAGCTGGAGAAACTTAGCAAAAACGTACCTGGCAATTACACGCCAACGTTGTTTTCTCTTTTCTATTCATCACCCTCACTGCTCTGTTGTGCAGCACCCTCATAAAGCTCTGCCTTAATCCTTATACCCAGAGCAGCAACAACTGGACCCGTGGACGCTTGCCAGCTCCGTGCTCTCTGGCTTTATCTAACGGAGGAATTACTGGCCCTGTTTATAAAACAACACAAAATGTGTACCCACAGAAAGTGAATACACATACTTGGGATACAGTAAAGCCAGTACTTCCCCTCAAAGACCAATTAATGCCAGACAAGAAGGCCCCACAGAGCTCCGCTGACTCAGCACTTCTTGGACACCCTGGCTTGAGAGCAACAGCGTCTACGGAAGGGACCCCCAGCGCTTGAGTCAGCCAGGTGGGGTAAAGAGGCTGAAGTATGAGGCTTAAGATTATCTGCAAGGTCGTATCTGCTGCTTCGCGAACCGCCGACCAGGTCAAACACACGCAACCGCACGCACATAAACGGTAAACAATGACCGATCCGCTCCATCCTGTTAATAATACCCTTTAACTGCAAGCACAGAGAGGGACAACTGGTGTTTTATTTCCTTCCATGAAGTTTTAAGTTGTGCCGTGTTTGACAATTCCTCTGGTTCTTCTCAAATGCACTTTTCCCCTCTTCAAATGAAAATCTCGTGTGCTGCTGTGAGCGTCTACGAAACAATGTCCAAGTGGGTCAGAAAAAAATGAAAATAATGAAAGCAGAGCTGCCCTAAGAGAGATGAAAGGATATGATGAGAAGCTCGGAATAGTTGAGGCCTACAGAGCAAGACCAGTTGGATTTTTTAATATGCCCGACTTCTAAATGGTTGTCAAACACATCTGAAACACTCAATAAAACTAGGAAGAGCATTTTCAGCATAAAATTGTTGGCTTTCTAATATAAATTATATGTAGCAGGGCAGTGAAATGCTATAAAGTGAAATGCTCAAGACGAAATTCACATGCTGAATCATTTATGTAGTCAATATCAACACGTCATGTTATCTTCTAAAGGCGAGCCAAGGGAATATGTCCTCGAGGACTTTGCTAATCATCTGCCAATCAACATCCAGCTCAAAAAACATCAAAACCAGCTCTTCGGTCCATATGATCCATAAAAACGTCTAAATATCTAAAAGCCATCTGATCCCAACAATGTCACCAGAACTCCACCTCAGCTCAGGGCTACAAATGCAGGAAATTGTGCTTCAATCTATCACCGCGAAGACACGACGACTACCTAAAACTGTGCAGATACGTCTGAGCGCATGTCTGTGCTGGATGGTCAGTTTATAACCTGAAGCGAGGCAGTGTCAGTGATGGGACACGGGGATTTACGAGTCGCAATCTCCCATAGCCGAGCTTCACAACACGGTGTGGAAGTGATTATGGCCCTTAAGCTCCAGTGACATGGATATCTCCTGGCTCTACAGCACTCTGTCAGAGGATCATACTTTAATCTGATTGTAAAGACACTAGGTATGACACAGGCGCCTCAGGAATGTAACCTGTCATTAATATCAATTACACATGGATTCAATTGCCAATGATCAGGAGAGTTCGGGAGCTTAGGCTGCACGTGAATATTGTACTCTCCAAAAGTTAGGTGGTAAAGCTCAAAGCAGGAACAGTGAAGGCAGAGTGGATGCGGGGATTTGATTGGAGTTGGAGCGTTGCTTTGAGATCAACACTCAAATCAGCTACTTTCTCCGAGTTGAAAGTTTTGGAGCTCTCGCTGCTGTTGACAGATCGCATGCAGTAAAAAGCGAGTGAAAACAAAAATAAAATGGAACAAGTAAAGGTGAAATGCCTCATCAGACCTTTTATTAGCTCAATAATCATCAAATCAACAACACTGAGCGGTGGGGGATGTAATCCTGGGCACATCAGCACCATAAAAAGCCAGAGAGCAGAACTGCCCTATTTTTACAAAATAATTGGCTAACCACCTTCACCCCCAGCCTCCTCAGACAACACTGTGTGGGTTTAATGACACACATCCATACCTGCCTCTGCCAGCTGGCACGACACAGGCCCTGGCAGGCTCGGTCTTTGACGAGAGAAGAAGTGGACCACTTTAACCTCACAGCTCTCAATAGCCTCCCATAAGCTCCTAACAATTTCAGCTGGAACTGGGAAAGGACAGCACTCGCAACGTCCAATAGAAACACCAAGCCAGAGAGCAGCTTATGAATTCCAAGTTAGACAAATAAATCCATACATGTTTGTGGTCCAGCTGACCAGGAACTCTCATGCCAACCTTTGGTTTGTGATCATCTAAAGTGGGCGGTACATGAATGATATATCAACATACTCCAGAGTGCAGGAAAATACATATGGAGTCAATAAAGGCAATGGCAAAAAGAAAGTGTATGAAACTGAAATTATACCAACAAATTTAAACCTCTTCTTCATCTAGATCCAGAGGTTATGTCAAGACAAAGTAGCATGGAGCTAGATGTTACAGGGGAAACAATACAGCTAAATTATTAGCTGAGAGCTGTGCCGGTGGAGGGCGAACGGTTGTAGTTACCTCAGTGTTCTAATGAGAACACCAAAGTAGCGTTCAATAGAGATGAGGGTGATTTCTCATGAGACATGTCTGTAACACAAATGGTTTAGATTACATCATTTCTGCCACTCGACCAAGGAGGCCAGAGACGTGAATGGATGAACGCCATGGAAAGTGTGAGACGTTTAAGGCTGATTTATACTTTTGCATATTAACCTATAGTTTGTTTTTAAGCATTTATGCATGTGTTGCTGGTGTGTCCGTGCTGCTTTGCAATTACATCACCAGAAGTTGCCGTTGGGGTTTCCATTCAATGTGTTGAACGCGCTTCAAACAATGGCGACCGAAACTAAGACGGGTCAAGTTGGCGTCGGAGCTAACAACTGTTGAGCTACATGTTTACTGAAATTACTGCAAATCAGAAAAGAGTGTGACCATTGAACCAATTGAGTTTATACACAGATTAGCAGGAACTCTTGCAATTGTAAGTGGATGCAAACATTTGTCGAAAATTGGCCCTTTCGGGGATTTCTGTTTCGATTGCGGTGTAGGATCTGACAGCTTTGACTGCACTGTGTGCGCCAAAAACAACAACACATCGTTGCTGGATGTAGCTCCAGTTCTATGAGGACATAAGAGACAGAACAATGGTGGGTTTGTTATGACAGCCTATATAGCAAGAAGACTGCTCCTCCACAACCATATTGAAAAATGCCACTTGTCCCCGAATTAAACCAATCGTCTTCTTAGAGTTTAACCAAACAGCATAGAGCCCCACGTAGCACATTTTTCTGGTCCACTCAAAAGTACCTACCATCAGGTTTTCCCCCCAAAAACAGCCCTGTAATAGGTTCTAAAGGGGTAATTCTTGCTTTTGGAACACACACAAAGGTTTGGGCCACCCCTAAAATAGCCCCAGACAGACATTTTCCTTTAAAATCCCAAAGTGCTCAAAGACTTAAACTTTAGAGAGCCTCAGGTGCCATAAAGCCTGTCCCCCTCAGTTCTTCAACAGATCCAACTCCTTCCTGAGAACAGCTCTTGGGCAGCAAAGCTCAATCAGCTGAGGCCCGGAAAAAAGGGATTATATCACTAATTCATCCTCAAGCCAAATAGGTATCATTACGATTTAAATCGCTGTAATAGTATCGAATTAGGCAAAGGAATATAGCAAACAGGATATTAATACGTATCTCCATAGCCAAGGATTTAAATACTGTATCTGTTCCCTCTTGCCTAAATTCTGAAGTCTCTTTCTCGACAAACAGTAATCATATTGTACTGATTATGTCTGACTGTTAAAGCAGAGAAATAGTTGGGAGTGTTTTTAAAAGCCAGATTGTTGTAATCAAAAACTTTTAGGTCGCTCACTCTTAAATCACTCATTTTTTTATTTCTGGTGGATGACAGCTAATTTGACCACAGCAGCATGAACAATCTATTCCTGGACAATCAAGAGCCTGGCAAGCGACGTGCATTACTGTATCCACCTGATAGGCAGTGCCAGTCCCTTCTGTGTTTTCAGCCTGAGCTGCACTGGCAACACTCCCAGCTGCACCTTTTGAAGAGCAAGGAATACATGAGCAAGTTTTTATAGCAGCACAAGTTTTGGTTTTAAAACTGTAGTGCAGAAACAGATTAATCTTAAGCTTTGTGCATGTATTTTTTCTTCTAGGGCTTTTGAAGTTTGGTGATAGTGAAGGAAAAGGTATGAGAGGTGATTGTTATCTTACCCTCCATCTTCCTGAAATCCCTCCAGTTCATCTCTCTGTTCTGCCAGGGTAGACTCCAGGTCCAAGTAGCTTCCATTATGGGACAGCTGAAGGGCACAGTCATCAGGCTAAACAGAAAAAAAACAAAACACACACACACTTAAAGAATGTATGTATAAAGAATGCTTAACAATAAGTTAAACAGGAGACATTTATGAACTTTTGATGCTGGAAATCCATTTGCGGGATCCTGAACTGAATTCTACTCCCGTCTGATCAGATCAAAAACCACATGCCGGCTGAACAATTGGCAGTGACATCCAGAGAGACTGAACTCCGGTTTCTGTGAAGCAGAAAAATGACTGTGCCTTTGCTTCAAGCACAGTATACAGTTATACAAGTTCCTAACCGCACGGAAATTACAGTATACAACTAAAGTGAGTAGACCCCTGTGCAAAATCGCTTAAATGTTGAAGGACTTCAGATTGCATCACCTTTTAAATAAACGTGTTATTTCTAACTTGACAAGTACAGTATTTTGTCTTATAAACAATCAAAAACAGATACTTTAGGAAGAATTTATTGGAAATTCAGGCCCCAAAGCAGAAATTCAATGCAACAAAAGTAAATATACGTTTGCATCCAAGAAAAAGAACCCTCGCTTGCTCTTCAGCACAAAGCCGTAAGACGAAACCTTGCTAAATAAGGTGAAAGAAGCCTTATGAATATTGAGAGCACATTCTTTGGTCAGATGAGACCATAATAAATTTGTTGGGCTGAGATGAGGTCTCGCATATTTGGTGTGAACCTAGCTAGGACAACCACAGTGAATGCATAGTCCCGACAGTGAAGCACAGAGGTGGGAGTGTGATGATATGAGACACCATTAGTGCAAAAGGTGTTTGGGAGATGACATTTATAGGTGCACCACGAATGTCTATCGATATATACTTAAATATCTGCTGACTAGATGACTCCCAGTCTGCAGAAACTTTGGCAGAAGAGGAATATTCCAGCATCCAAAGCACAAAATCACAAAAGAGTTTCTAAAGAAGAAAAAAAATGCAAACTATGACCTGGCCAAGTAAGTCGCCCGACTTGAATCCAACAGAACACCGTTTGGGTATTTTAAGGACAAGGGTAGTGCAAAACAACCCTTCCAGCAACGAGCAGCTGGAAATAAAATGTCTCTAAAGAATAGCAGAGCATCGCAACAGTATTCTCTGTGCCAAGAAGGATTGAGTCTGTCATTAAAAATAAGGGTGGAATAAAAGCTTTGAATCTCTGCACTGATTTTTGTTGCATTTAGAGCCTGCCATGGGGCTTGTATTGTTAACAGAGTAAATCTAAAAAGTTAGTTTTTAATTTTACACAAGAGCAAATGTCCTCCTCAGTTCTGTTGTCTACTGCAATCCCAACAAGCTAAGACTGGAAACTTCCCTTCTTTAAATCACTTCTCCTAAATATAGATGCCGTTTTTTGTTTTGGAGAAGAAAAACATGGTTTTATAAATCATAACTTATTTTTATGGGTCAATGGCCAAATGTGGAGTGTATTTCAGGTTTCTGTCTAGTCTGGAGAGGACCGTAGAAACTCATTTTATCGGCTCCTGTCAGTGCTCAGCAATGACGAGCCGCGCAAGGTTGCAGAGAAGTCATGCACATTTGGAGCAGCTTGGCAGTCCGGTGCCTCTTATCTCTGCTCTCCCCGTCTGGTAAACTATCATCACACGAGATGATTTTGCAGAGGAGGTATGATTTGTCTGGTCTTGAATGGTTGTCATCACCTGACTGCGGTCAAGGAGATGAAGAATGAGGGTGTCTGTTCACTTGTCTGGTTGACCTCCAAATTGGAGATATTAACCTATTTATATTCGGAGTCTGTCAGCTCCGCGGGACAGCGGCTCCAAGAGCGAGGCAGAGGACAGGAAAACAAATACCATTAAGAAAAGGGCAAACACAGCGGAGAATGGCACTGCTTTGCTCCGTCAACACTTGGAGTATCTCAACCAGCAACATGCCGTATAAATATACTGAACTCAATGAATCTGTCTTCTCATGTCAGCCCTCCGAGGCTTTGTAAAGCAGCAAAGACTACGACATGCTTGCACAAACACTACTATTCTTACACATCCTACATAGGCAGCCTGCAAGATTTTCTCTCTTAATGAGCAACACATGCAAACATATATGTAACATGCAAAGCCATGTGTTTTTTAAATCAGGGCAGCTATTGCCAGCTCTGATGCAGTTCGATTTCCTTCCACATATGACAGTAACGTAATTAAACGTGAAGGAAAAACGCTGGGAAAGACATCATGGCTTTAATCTGTCCAGCCACTCTGTTTGGATTACTGCACTCAAGGACTGTGTCATATTTGAGAACTGAAACAAAACATGTGGATGGTTAGGATAACTCTCACTCTCCCTCCAACTCCCTTTCTGACCGGGGCCCTGTCTCGCTGTGTTGTTTTCCATGCTCGGTAAACCAAAAGATTATAGTTAATACGAAAGCTGTAGAGATAATAGGGCCGAACATCATCTTCTTCGAGAGGACACCAGAGATGAGGAGAAGCACAAGGCCGACGCTGCACCGAAATTGCTGAGGAAATCCTAGAACGGTGGTGAAGTTTTGTGCAGACAGAGTTAGAAAAAGACAAAGAGGAAGATAGGTAGACAGTAAGAGGAGGAACAAACACATATATACTGTGCATAGTCAGGAGGGAAGCAAGTGATTCTCCAGATTACATGGACTCACAGGAAATCCAGGCATGAGGGACCAAGTTAAGCCCACTATTTTAATGCCTATGAACTGACATGCTTTTGAAACTAAATGTGGGACAGTAATATGAAATGTAGCATGAAGGAGAAGACACACTAAATCATATGTGCTGACCAGTGGCTGGGCCCTACATAACCCCCAAACTATCCCAGGAAAGATTTTATTGAATGTCTGGGGTTTTTTTCCCCCCCAGAAAAAAAAAGAGTCTTCCTAATGTCTGAAACACAAAATATGCACTGCATTGTAAGTCAGGAACTGGTTCTCCTCAGTGTTAGTTCACCTGACTTTATTTGCTTGTGTCTTTGGGGTTAATCACAGTTCTGATGTATGGGACCTGCCAGTGATTTCTTGTCAATTTAAGTGTTAAGAGTAAATTTGACATTAAAAAAAATAAAAAAAATCAGCTGATATTGGTCTATCATGTACACAGATATGAGTACCAGTACATATGTTGTTGGATATGTGGCAATATAAAAATGTAGAAGTTTAAAAAAAAATCAGGCATTGTTTAAAATTCTCTCAACACTGTTTGCAGCACATTTAGCAGAGAATGCACAAGTGGCTGGAAAAAAAATAAATAAAAATCAACAAAAAAGTGCCAAACCTGCAGTTCCTTACGTGGCCACTAGAGGCTGGCTCCAAAAGCAGGTCAATCTCCATGGGTCCCCATATTAAAATGTCTAACTTTGAATGACTTGGGTCTCTATAGCTAATGTCATATGATAACTGTACAGGGGGTGAATTTTTATATTTTACCACATACTCCTTCATATATATGATAAAAGCGTGTGGCTGAGTTGGTACCATCACAGGAATTTTGCGTGGACCACCTCAGTTCCACTCACGCCACCTCTTGACTCTTTTTTTTTTTAATAGCTAGGAGCAAAGAGGACTCAGGCACCACAAGATGACAACAAGTGAAGCCACCACACTCAGCTTAAAAACTAAAGAAATCTACAAGTAACCTCATGTAGGGATATTCTGTCTATATACATTGTGTGAGTACATAACACAATTGAGCAGACAGTGGTGCAGAGTCAAGCAGTGTTGTTACAAACTAGTTTATGAAATACATTGCTTGAGGGTTAAAAAAATATCAATATCATCAATATGTTCTCATTGCAATATCACTCAACATAGTGTGTATATGTCTATATATACACAGTAAACATATATAAAAGGATTACCGATAGTTTTAATCCTTGAAGACCTAATTATCCCCAAAAATCTAGCAGTCAGGCTCTAGAGTTTAACTATGTACATTTAATTGCACTTCCAGTACTTAAATTCATAGATTGGAGAGAAAAAAAAAAGGAAAGAAAAAAAGGGAAAAGAAATTGTTTGTTCTCTTTCAGCTTTTCACTCTGTATCACAACCTGAAATAGACAAAACATTGGGCTGTATTTGCAGCTGTAACTAGTAATTAGCCAACTGTGGAAGCAAGAAATGCATTTCCCCACACAAGGTTTTGACTTGCAGACCAAAAGCAACACAAGCAGAAAAGTCAAAGTGAATTACGCAAGTGTACTATTAAGAATCCCCATGTGTATCTACTCTTCCATGTATCCACACATTCGTCCTCTAATCTGTGTCACTTTAGGCGATCATTACATAATCAACCTGGATTACTAATTACAGGTATTGCAACACATAACCAGGCCAGGTTGGTGCACTTAAATTCCCCCTAATCCGGTGAATAGTGCGCCCAGATTATCAGAGGCAGAGGCTTCTTTAGCTGTCCCCTGCCCAGGACGTGAACCCACAGTGGCCCTGCGATGGCCAAGTTCAGGGATGGAACCACAAGCGCTCTGCTCACACACTGAGGTCTGGCCTCTCCCTTCAACCACCATACTGTGGTCCACTGACCAGGGAGGCAGTTAAGGCAGAAAGGACTAAAAATAAACACCATGCAATTTCCAATTTAAAACTGCTATCTCACTCCAAATTTCTTTGTGTTCCACAAGGGGAAGACATTTGAAATGAGATAGCAAATACCGTGTGAAACTTGCACATTTGAAACTCATGATAACCCAATAACAACACTGCCTGGTACATAGCTTTGTGCAAACATTAACTGTAATGGGCTTCATCAAACAAGTGTAAAGCTTCAGAAGTGGCCGACTGATTGCTTTTGTTTGATCAAGGCAAGGATGCCGTCAATGCTTCATCAAGAGTTGAGACACATTAAAACACACCTGATGCATGAAAGAGAAACCACAACAGCAATCTTAAGTTCCCGTCAAGCATGCAGAGGATGAGTCTGTCCATGAGTGCATTCTTCTGAAAGGAGCCCTCTGCTGAGACAAACCCTCCAAAACGCAGAGAACCGGCAAAAACCTCAACTCTGCATGACAATGTGTAAAAGAATTCAAAGGAGCTTTGACAGGCATGAAGGAGGAACCTGTATTTTACAGCGTTTAGCATAACTTCTCATTTACCGTAGCTTCTCATTATGGGACGAAAAAAATGCAGAAAAACAACTGTCCCAAAAAATTGGAATCAGTAAAGTGAGAGTCCGTTCTCTGATGCAAGGCCACCAAGCCACAAACTACAAAGCACTGACAGAGAAGAAAGTATATGGAGGAGTACTGATCTATTGATTTGTGTTGGCAAAAGCTGCATATTTGGAATAACCCCAGCAGATTTTGAACAGCATGCACACTTGCGATGCATTCGAAAAACTGAGAGGCTGAGTCAGGTAGTCATAGTTTCCATCGACACAAGCAGCAGGAAAGTTCAAGATGCTGCACATACACATTGTATGGATGCATTGTGTTGTCTTCATCCCAAATTGTTTTCAAATAAGCCTCTCAATTTCCATTAAAGCCTCGAGAAGAGTCAGCAGTACTACTTCAGTACCAGAGTACGCTGCATACTGGGTTATGATACATGGTTGGTTTGGCATTTTCCAGAAGGCCACAGGGTGGAAAACTGACTTCAAAGTGGTTCTGCTGCCCTGACAAAGCTGTTGCTACACAACAATTATTTATGGTGTGACTTCTTGTTGCTATAAAAATAAGAAATAAAAAAAAAAAAGCCCTGCACAAAGGCTTTTGATGTTTAAAATGTCTCTCTCTTAACTGATGCTTGAATCTGCACAGTAGCGAAGCCAATGGTGCCATTGCATGCAAAACACACACACACTACAAACAACAACCAGGCACACACATGCATGTACAGATCTCCCCCTCTTGAGACTGCAGACTGAAACTGACAGCAACAGCCCAGAAACAGCATATGCTTGCTGTTCTGACTCCCTCGGCACCATGTGTTAGCAGCGCACTATTTATATCAGGTTGACCTCCGCTGGAGAGACGCAGCTCAAAGACAACAGGTTTGTTGTCAAAAGGCATTCGCAGGGTCACGCTGAAGTCGCCTCTTCAAACGTTCGAGGGTGTGAATTTAGAGAAGTCCTCGCTCAAATGTGATGACAGACTCTTGTCATCCACCTGACCGGTTGTTGTTTAATAACCACCAAATCTCCCTAACCAAGCCCCGATGCTCGCTCTGTCTGGTTTGCGGTCCAGCTGGCCTGCAGCTAAAACTCAAACCAGTTGACTGTGCATCAGCTCTTTGTTTGTGTTTTTAATTCTCCCTCTCCTCTTTTTCTCAAACAGTGGAAAGCATCCCCGTCCCGTCCTGCTGGTCAGACTGAGTGGGCTGCAGAATGAGAGCCAGAGCTTGTGGTGATCCACAGCATCCTGAGGCTGCTGTGACTTATCTTACCAGCTCCACTCAAACAAGACGGAGCACCACTGATCTGACAGAATGAAGAAAGACCCAAATTAACTTTCTATTTGCGCGACTTCCCAGCCAGACTAAGACGAATGCTCAATAAAAGTCTCAACCTCAGCCGCTGTGGTCTCCGCTGCTTTGTTTAAAATCGAAGGTCAGTGAGACGGGGCTTTTTGGAAACGTGTTTGGATGCGCGCTGTCTCATCACAAGGCTGAAACAGGAATTTCTTAAGAGATATGGCCTTCAGAAGCCTCCAGAAGTAAAGCAAAAAAAACAGAAAATGGGCTTCAGGTTTACATTATTTGTCACTGGGTAATTCCAAAGTACCAAAACAGGCACACGCAGTTATTTTAGGCTGTTTTAAAAGTGGCTGTGAAGCTGTGAATGTTGGGAACTTTTGCAACCAAAACAACCTCATCACACAAATAAAGACTGACGTGATGAAGCTGACCAAACACAGTCTGCAGTGACAGCAAAATGCATTCTGATTCAAAATGATTCTGACTCTAAAGATGTGTTGAGATCTAATTCAAAAGTACAGCTCTAATCAAACCAAGTGGGGAAATAAAAACCTCCTCCATCCTTCAAGAGCTTGACCGACTGAGCGTTTGACCCCACCTCCTCTAATTGGAGCAGAAGTGGTTTCCTACATGGACCTTAAGCGTGCCCATTCATGATACCACAAATGCAAAGTATGCCCTCTCTTCCACAAATGATTTTCCCTTTGAGAGAAAGTTTTCAAGTCAAATTTTCTTCCCTCTTACACAATAAACTAACACGAAACTTGACCAAATTTAGGGGGCGAAAAACATCTCCTTAAGTCCAGTTAATGAGTAGAAAATCAGGTTCAGCTGAGAGGAGTTTGATGTAAACATTAACTGATTCCTTCCCCCATTAAGTCAAATAATGGGTGTTTGTTTCAAAACCAGTGTCACCTGAAGTCACAAAATTATTTCACATTACATTCTTATTCTGCCAATGATCATGCAGTAACTGTTTAAACCCACATTAAAGCTCAAGCACTTGCTCATTGGTCCATTAGCTTTGTTTGGTTGTTGCCCCATCAACATGGTAATTATTAATCAAGGTGTGAACTAATTTGAACTTTATTTAAAGAAACATCAACACCATTGAGACATTTCAAAACAAAACAAAGTGCACTTGCATACCTTCTGTGGAGCTTTCAGCAGCCTGTGGACTCCAGCAATCTGATTGATCAGAGGAATATCCTCCCTGAAAGTGTACAGAGGTGGTCTGGTGGGCTCGGGGAAATTGGTGCTGTTAAATGGATCAGTATCATCTAAGAACTGCACCCTGCATACAAACGTAGCCATGGTGCATCCATGCAAAAGGCGATTTGTTTTTTTAGACCATCAAAATAGTGGATGCGACACTAAAGCCTCTGACAGACAGACAGACAGACAGCGCAGTCCCCCCCACCCCTCGTCCTCCTCCGGCCAGGGCAAACTACCGGCAGGTCTTCTGCAGTAGCACAAAAAAAAAAAAAAAATCCTGCAGCCTGTTATCCTTGGAGCTTCTCCATTTGTTTTCACGCAGCGCGGATGAGTCAGGACAGTGCGCACAACAGTCCAGAAGTGGCAGATCCAAAGGACGGAGAAGGCGCGGTTAAGTGAGAGCAGGGGCGGCAGTATCCAAGGGCATTGCGGGCGGTTGAGGTGCTGAGGCAGACTGCGGACGGGGGACTGCTACACTTGGCGCCTGGTCTGTGAGAGCGATGGGAAGCGGGCTCCCTCCTCATGCAGAAACTCTGCCAGGGGACACCGGAGCCAGACCTCAGCCGGCCCGACGCAGCTCGGATTACAGGCGCGACTGCGGCCTCCAGCGGGGGGAAGTGGAAAACGCACACAGAGGGATCAGCAGTGGTGCTGGAGGAGGAGGAGGGCCGCGGTTCACTGAGCTTTGGTTACAGCTCAAGTGCTGACAAACATGCTGTACGGAGACATTGTCGATGGTGGATACAGTTGTGTGCGCAATGAGCCGTGCCACATGTTGATTTATAGTGATGTGACCAATAACTTCTTCTGACATAAACAAGTGACAAAATTTAATAAGACTTCATGTTAGCGGCATGAGAGATGACTAGTAGCTATTTTTATGTGAATTGTTTTGTTTTTATTACACATTTTTACGAAAATATGTCCAATATCTGAGTAATCAATGTCTTTGTTTGGCATCACCATCAATCAAACTGTTCTTATAATTGCTCATAAGGTTTCTACATGTCTTCACTCTCCTGCTCTTTGACCTTGAAGGCTTCCTCTCCATCACTCTGCTCTTCAGTTCCTCCACAGGTTCTGGATGGATTCAGGTCTGGACTCTGGCTGGGCCGCTCCAACATGTTTCCTTGTCACTGTTTCTTCACCACTTTGGCTGCATGTTTCACATCATCGTCTTGTTGGACACTCCAGTGCTGCCCAAGGAGCAGTTTTTTTTTCTGAAGTCCGTCTGATGTATTCCTTCACAATCTTACTGTGGTCCTCTTTTCTTCTGATGAGGTTGTTTGCTTTGACAAGGTTTCCTGACAAACTCCCCTCAAAATACAAGAGTTGCACCACCATGTTAGACTGTGGGGACACTGTTCTCGGCCTTGAATGCTTCTCCTTTCGTTGTGTCCATTTCCATCTCATATGACCACAGAACTGATGACAAATAGGATTGTTGTTGTTTTGTTTTTTTTTGTCCAGCTGAACATTCATCAGGATGCTCATGGTCCCGATCCTTGGATTCTTCTTGGCCTCTACCATTCTTCCGGTGCAGGGCTTGTTTCTTTCTTCCTACCAGCGTTTTGAGATGTTTCACTGTGTGGAACTCTTTGTACTTTTTAATGATGCCTTGCAGTGTGGCCACTGGACCTTGAAAAATACTTGGATATGACTTTAGAGCTTTTACCTATCTTCTGAGCAGCAGCTCTCTCGGTGATGGACCCTAATAGCAAGCTCTTTGGTTTGAGCCAGGACTTGTAATTGACCAGAAAACTACTGCAGCAGCTGTTCTCAGTGTATTAGAACGCTGCATTTGCTCAAACAAAATGCAGCAATTTTAAAAGTATGACTGACTTTGGACAGGGTAGTTTAAATAAAAAGACACAGAAATGGTTATTATTCATCATTAACATCTCCAAAACATGGTCTTGTCATTTGTTGACTGTTTATTTCCAGCCAGGAGAATATATAACAACAACAGCAAAGACATTGCTTTAAAACCTCGCTGACAAGGTTCCAGTGCTGCAGCTTCTCTCACTAGGCTTCAATACCAACGGTCTAGACTGTCAAGTTTCTCAGGATTCATATCAGTGACTTCACCTGGATCAACCACATCACCCATCTGATCGGGAAGACACAGCAGAGGCTGTACTTCCTGAGGAGGCTGAGGACATTTCAGCTGCCACCATCACCCCTCTGCAGCCTCTACTGACTATTGAGAGCATTCTCACCGGTAGCACCGCAGTGTGGTGCAGGAACTCAACAAAAGCAGACTGTTAGCGCCTGCAGGGAGAGGTCAACACATCACAGGTAAAACCCTCTACAGCAGATTTACTAGCAAAGAGTCTTCAGAGCACCAATAGCATCACCAGGGACTCCACCCACCCACAGCACCACCTCTTCACACTCCTGCTGTCTGACGGACGCTACAGGA